TTGTGCACTCAAGTAAGTGCAAAGTCTCTTAAAACATGTTTTAGGCTCTCTGATGTTACGACCTACTCTAGGTGTGGTCCCTCTCTGCCCCAGCCCTTCCTAAAGCAGAATTTCACTCTCCTGCTTCCCCACACCAGTAAGGGCAGCGTGGAATGCCAGGAGCCACTGATATTTTTTTTTATAGCTTGGGCTGACCCCAAGGCTGAACAAACACACGCTGGAGGGGCAGTTCTCACTGTCACCAAGGGTACTGGCTTTATTATAGGCTCTGCAAGCATTTTTCACTTCTTAAAAGCTCTGATTTTTAAATTTTTTTAAAGTTTTTTTTTTTTTTACCACAGAGCAGTAGAGTATAGAAGCCCAGACAGGACTCGAGCCTCATTACATCAAGCATGGTAAAAAAGCCTCACCAGACAAATTCCCAGGAATTGATTTGATTGTGTTGATTTTATTATATCAGTGCAACCCAAGCAAAACACATACACTGTGCTGGGATACCGTGCATTTCTTCCAGTGCAATTTTATACTTACGTAGTTTTCCTTTTTATAAATAGGGATTAGAAAGTGGTTTATCTACAATATAATGTTAATTGTCTTTATGGAGAATTTTTTAAACTCAAGCAGTGATGAAGTGATTACTTAATTGCTCAAGATGCTGGTAATGCAGCCACTGGCATAGGTTTGATGTGCACAACAATGGTTCAAGTATTGACTAAATGGCAAGTCTTCGTATGGATTTACACAGCAACAGCCTATTGTTAAATAACCTGGCATGTGAACACTTTTTTTCAGGAACAACTGTAGCTTTCTCTGCAGCAAGAATTTTCACACAAAAAATAAACTTAGAAATTGCTACCATCCCCTTTCACATCCTCTTTAATAGGAATAAACTTTTAACTGTCATGCATGCCAGAACATTTATACCACAAGATATTGAAAAAATTATTAGATCTTTAACTTCCACAAAGCTATCAGCATATCATCTTCAATATCATAATCATATTGTGAGCATTTCCCTAGTACAATGCTATGAAAAAATCAATTTTAAGATAATAAGAGATTAAACACTAGCTAGAGAGTGACTGCTTGATGTACAGAGACAATTGTATTGCCCATCCCTCGTGTCTTACAAATGTGTTTACTTGAGCTCTGCCGAATTAAAATAGGGTGCAAATAACTATTCCAGAATAACTGTATTTCTAGATGAAATCAAATTTAAGACTAAGGGAATTCAAAATGAAGGTTCATTCATCCTCTTTGTTTCTCTGAAAAAAAATTTTTTAGACTGCTAATACTGATGCCATCAATTTGGTCATTCAAACTATCTAGGTCACGTGCCATACAAATATTTAGCAGACAGATGAGTTTTCTGGGTTCACATGGATGACAAAATGTCTGGCTATGGAATTCTCAACTTTGTCAGTTTGTAGCAAAGTCCTCCTAAATCTTTTGATCAAGCATTTGGCTCTTAGGCACACCTCTTCTGTGGGCTTTCCTGCACTGCTGCTAAAAGATGCTTTCCACCCCTGTTGCAGTTGCAGGCGTGACATGGGATGGGTCAGCGTTTTCACTGGTGTTTTCTTGTGCTCCTACCTGAGGACAGAACAAGGCATGAGGAAAATGGCCTTTTTTCCCCTCTCCAGTGTTACTCAGGAATGAGACCCATCCTTGCACAGACCCACGTGGAGGGCACCAGGACCCCTCCACCTGAACGCACCATCACAATCACCTTTCATCTCCCAAAATAAGGATTAGTTGGGAGTGGGAAGGAGGCCCAACACTGCTGGGAAAACATCACAATCTTTAAGCTCAGTGGTTTGGGTGATGGCCATGCAGCAGAAGGTCTGGAAAGCGACAACCAGAAAGATTACTCGGCTGTTAGGGATAACATTTGTGGCTGGCAGTTGCCATTCCCCCTGCTGATTGAAAACAGTTCTCTCCAAGAGTGGTTCCTGTGGGATTACAACATATCCCAGCATTTTGTAACCATCAGTGGAAGTTCTGTTTTGTTTCTCACAATCAGTATGGAAAAAGCAGGCTGCGACAGAGGAAAGGTCAAGAGAAAGAGGTTGTTTCAAAATAATTGCCTTCTGAAAGTGGGGAAAGAATATGTTTATACAGTAGAGAGAGTGCACTGTGGAAAAGGGCACAAGAGGACAGGTTTCTCCACTGCTTCCTGTCTAGAGATTTCTACATAGCGTGAGGTTCAAGCGCAGGTGAGTCACCTCAGGTAATTCTGTAATTTTAATGAGTAGTTCTGGACTACTGGTGCAAAGCTCTCTTTAGAGTCAATAGAGAGAAACAGTCCCCGTAAGTGAGAAAATTGTATGCCTGTCTTAGCATCAGATCAATCACCTTCAGCAGGAGCTTGTTTCTCCCCACCAGGAGTTCAGTCTGGGCACCTACTTCATGTAGATGTCTAGCTAAATACCAACAAACCTAGGCCAGCTGTCTCTGCCTGATGTGGCCCATACTCAGATGTACAATCCATACATTTTATTTGTTATTTACAGAAGACTCTATAAAAAGAGAAGAACAAGAAATTGCAATAGACGAAGAAAGGAAAATGCAAGGCAAATATGGGGAAAAAACCCCAGAAGGCAGGGAAAATTACTATACTGGAAGCAGGATGTGAATGCAGAAGGAAATTCAGATAAATGGCCAACCACAAGTAGGAAATACTACACAGGCTTCAAACCGCTGGTGCACGAGACTGCTAGAGAAACACAGGAACCTCTGAACTTCAATACTTTAAAAAGTATTAGCACTCTTACATAAAAAGTAATGTCCCAACCAATGGGTCTTTCATTACTTTCCTAAGACACCACCAAGCACTTTAGCTACATTTTCCTTTTCTCCATCATACCCCAGTATTTCTAGCTGAAATTCTTTTCTGACAACTTTGCCTTCTGAATCAGAAAGTTTCTCCATTGTCGCCTTGTTTAATTTTCAAAGAAGTCTACATCTTCTAAAGGCATGGTTTTTCACACCCTTGGGCAAATCTCCACTTGGGCGTATTTTGTTCTCGAAACCCCACCATTTCTTGACAAAGACGGCGCAGCCAAAAAGAGCTTTGACCACTGTGCTGCTGACCAGCACCACCTCATTGTCTGCCTGCGCTCTGCCATCTACCTGCCTCCAACTGCCCTCTTTGTTGCGGGCTTAGGACATGTGCTCTTTGTTCTGTGTGTACAGCACTGTGCAAAATGGCATCCCGGCCTGTGACCGGGGCTCCAGGCCATACAGGTAAGAAGCCACCGGTGTTTTCCTTCAGGACGCGAAACCCTCTGGAGCTGTGAAGTGTTTAAGCGCACAAGCACCGCACAAGCACCGCACGTGGGTCCTGGTTACGGCTGCTCTCGCCTGGTTTTCCACGGATACCCATCACCTCCACCCACCCCAGGATAACCGGCTGGTTTACAAGGAGGTTTCCAAGCAGAACCTCACGTTTAGTTTTTACTCCCGTTTCTTACTGCGAAGCACGGCCTGGAACAGCTCCTTTGGGGGGGAGCACAAGGCGATGTAGCCACTAGAACAGGCAACACCCCGGGACACAGAAAAGCCAGGGGAGAGGCGCGTAGGCCAGTGTGACCCGCTCTTATCTCCCGCTCAGCCCGTTTTGCCGGGCGCCCCCTCACGCCTCCCCCCCGGGGCCCGGCCCCTCCGCCGCTCCACCACCGCCCGGGCTGCTCCGGCCCC